GGCCAGTTACATTAGGGATACAAGCTAATAATGGTTTTTCTTCCCTACAAGTAGTTTATTCACATCTAACTTGAGCTCTTCACTTTTTATTATCTCTTGGCTAGTACATTGGGCAATCATTCTCACACAGCTAACATTACATCCCGGCATGAGAGTTGCCAGACAGAGTGGCAGGTGGCTAAAATACACAGGTGGAAACAACTTGTGTGATGCGTAGCCATGGAATGTCCATCAGTGCATCTAGTCACTTGGGGGAATGATGATGAGTCCCTTAAATTATTAACTACTACTAGAAACTAAAATCATCCTGAATTCTTACCATTGTAAAAAGTGTTAAGAAAATTGTTCTTGAACTTTTATGTCAAGGCACCACAGAGTGTAGTATGTTTAGACAAACATACAAACAAACAAACAAAAAACCCTGCACATCCAATGTGATAATTTCTTACTGAAGTCTGTGTGTGGTGGGAGAAGAGAGACAGGGGAAGGAAGAGTGGATCAGAGTGGATCCTCTTCTCCATTTAGAAGAATTATTACAAGTATAAAAGAGGAAGAATATTTGACAGTACTGTATACTAGTATCACAGACATCTCAAAGTTTTTTATTTCTCAATCACTCAAACATACCTAGTTCAAAGTTTCATGTCAGTTAAATGAAATAGGCCCATTGGGAAGTTACTGTTTCATGAGGGCTCAAACTTCATCAAGTAGATTAATCCACTGATGAGGTCATAATTTGATGATTACTGGGAGGTGACAGATATAAGAAGCCAGGCCCATCTCACGAGAGGGAATCATGAGGGTACAACCCTGGAAACTATACCTGATCCTTTGCTTCTTCACCTTTGGCTTGCTCTTTCTCTTGCTGCTTTTGGCTGCCATAAGGTGAGCAGTGTTTTTCTCCCATTCAGTCTCTGCCATTAGCTTCTGGCTCACTATAGGTTACAAACAATGGAGCAAAGTCACTTTGGCCTGAAACCATGAGCCAAAATAATTTTTTCCTCCTTTCAGATGTTTTTCTCAAGTATGTGTTCACAGTGATGCAAGTTAATACAGTCTAGGAAGATTTTAAAGAGTAAACCTCAGTCTGGAGTAGAAAGTCATTTCTCTCTCTCTACTTCCGTGGAGTTCTTGCAACCCAGCACCCTGGCTCTCTTCCCATCCAATCACCTTTCTGGGTGCTATGGATTTCTATCTGCCAGTCCCTGTGCACTGTGCTACTGCACATGGTCATAGAAGCTAGATGACAGTTCTGAGTATTCTTTGTATCAGCCTGCCACCCATAGCCTAAAACCTGCAGTAGCTCTTCTTCTCAAGAGGTTCCATCTCTTGGTGCAGGGAATAGACCCTTGGTTACCTAGGCTGATGCTGTACTTGTCATACCTGATTCTGCCAGCTTCAGAAACCTGGATATTCACAGAAGAAGAGTGGTATGCCCTAGGCACAGTCCTCAGCTGGAAATGATGCAAGCTAAAACTAGAGTCTAACGCACAAGTCCACAACTCTACCAGATCCTGGAGTCAGTCCAGAGGCTGTTGTCTGTGAGCTCTTCTCTGCATATGGGGTACTCTGTCTCTATGGGTGCTGGGACTCACCATGTCAGATGTGTCATTCAGTTCCAAGATAAGCCCTGCACTGTAGGGAATAGGGAAAGGGGATGTTACCAGAACCCCTGCTGTGAGGCCTCATCTCCTGTGAGCCATAATAGCACAAGGTGAATTAATGAATTAAGACAGAAAATGAGACTTAGAGAAGAAGCTGAGCTTTGGGCATGATCAATGCTGCTCTGGGGAGGAAAAATGAATGACCCAGAGCTTGCCACATTAGTATATCAGGAGTAATAGATGACTCAGAGGGCTGCAGTGATAATTCTAGAATGATGAGGAACTTATGCAGATGAAGATCTTGGGTCATGAGGAACTGATGTTGATTAGGAATTTGTCTCTCCCCAGGATGTCTTCACCTGATGTAATCCTGACCTGGACCATCACAGCATCACTGGACCATTGAGGTTTTAGCTGTGACCAGAGGCAAAAATGGAGTTAGGTCTCAACATGCCATGGCTGGCCTGTAGGCAGGAAAACTAGGCCTAATTATAATTTAATTGTGAAATGATTTTTCCCCAAAATTATGTAGAATCGCTTCTGCCACTGCACAAGCTTTTGTGTTCTACTTGCTTTGGCATGTGGGTGTGGTGGATGCAAACAGTATTTTGGCTTAATACAGTATAGCAGCTCAATCTTTGGGTACTGGGTTGATAGTAGGTCATGAAGCTTTAGTTAACTAGCACATAGTTTTAAGGTGGCAAGACTGGTACTGAGTTTGAACCCTAAGGTAAATCCTGTATTTAATTCATTATCCATCCTGCATGCAGGTGGCTGTTCTCTCCATGGTATCTTATTGGAGTGAGGGAAAGCTCATACAGGCAACTCCTTCCTGCCTGTCTTCTTTGATACTTCTTTTCATTTTGTCATACTAAAAGTAGGCATTATGGTGGCTCACTTGATCTTATCTCTAAGGTGGACTGATGTTTCAATAGCTGTTCATACTGGTGTGCATGTGGAGAGATGATCATCGGGGAGCATTACTCAACTGATACCTTATGCTTGGGCCTGTTGCCAAGTACTTTAAGCAGGATAGCTTTTTAAAAAATGTTTTCTCTCTTCCTAATGCTATATGGGAAAGACTGATTTGTAGATATTTATCTAGTAGCCAGCAACATTTCTGAACTTTCTTGTGAGTTATAATAGTGTGTACATTCTAGTTATAATTATGTTTGTTAGATATGTCAATCATTTTCAAACAGATAAATCTTCCCCCCCGCCCCATTAACTTTATTGGTACATTTTAGGTACAAAACACAGTCATATCCATCATTGGGATCTTGTACCATCACATGAGTCTCTTGGTTCTTTTTTTTTTTCCCCTTCCCTTGCCCTCCCTTCACCCCCTCCACCCCTCCCCAT